TTTTTGTTATAATTTTGCAGATTCCAGTAAGACCCTTCCGGCACAATGAATATGAGAGATTCATCACAACGGCTTTTCCTTACTATGGTGCTTCATTTTCTACGGTAAATCTCTCCCTCTCTCTCATCAAGTCTATGTTGCATGTATGTACCGACATTACAAATTTGGATGAAATTTTGCAGATGGCTGGATTCTTCATCTTCAGCATCATTTACCTGTACCACAAGTGAAAAATCCTTTTTTGAAGGGAGAATAGTTATGCACCAAAACACCATTTACTTTGAGCTTTTCCTCATACAGTGCAGGATCTAACAGGATTGCTGTTAACTTCATAGATGTTGACCCGGCATACGTTTGACTCTGTAAACAGAGGATTATGGGATAAAGAGAAAACAGCTAGACATTAATACTGTAGGTCAAACAAACATATGTTTTGTGCTTTACCTGTATGCAGAGGTGGTAATTTTGCTTTGCATGAATTTCCGAGGTTAAATTGAGGAGATAGTAGTTAATTTACAATTGTCATTTGGAACGTACTTTTCAGCAGATATGCATACTTTTAATATAAAATGTCATATTCTGAAAAATAATAACATTTTACAAGATAATTATGCAGTTTTTTCACAAATAAATGATGGGTCGACTCATCTAATGGTTAGATTGGCTTGCACAAGAATTGTATTTGTGATTAAGTTATTCTTTCGTTGCCTAAACTTATAGATGCTTTCCACACCCAAAAAAAATCAAATTGCCAATGAAGTATTAAGTGATGAGAAAACAAATTTAAGTCAAAACAAGTCAGACTGCCTTACATAAATCAATATTATGATTTTCTCATCGATATTTCTCTTTTTTTCACCTTTACATAAATTTCTCGTGTATGTAGTAGGGCACACTGGCTACCGGAAGGTACTTTACAATTTATTTATGTACAACATCATGCAATTTGCAACCAGACATGTATATCCGTTAAGCTGACGTACTTTACTATAAATATACACGTTTACAATAATAATAATAATAATAATACTAATAAAACATAATAGTACACACTTTATAAGAACGCAAACTTTAGAATAAGANGCGGCGAACACCGTTCGAATACATGATACATAAACACTGAAAATAAAACTAAGAGACACACCCGAGGTGGTCTAGAACCTCAACTAACACAAACGACCTACAAAGATGTCAAATAAGCCAACTAGCAAACCAACATAAACTACAGAGCCCAACCCGAACCACTGCAAATAAAGCCTAGCCGGGAAGGACTCCCTCAACCAAAACAAAAATACAAGGAAAACAGAAAGAAAAAAGATCAAAACCTAAGAACTAGCAGCTGCATAGTAAAATTCAAGCCAGTCTGAGAGAGCAAGCTTCACAATCACATGTTCTGGAATCCAAGACTTTTGAAAAATCCAGAGGTTTCTGGACTTCCAAAGCCACCAAAGCAGGTATGTAGTTAGTTGAATGCGAGCTTCGGCCACTTCAGACTTCTTTAAAGAACAAACATGGAACCACCAGTCAGAAAAGTTGCTTGTCCTGTTGCAAAGTCCATCCCACTGGACAGGGCTAACTTCCCAGCATCTCTTAGCTCTTGGACAGTCAAAAAAGATATGCTCCACAGTTTCCTGATTCCCTCCACACACAGCACACACAGTATCCAGATTCACTCCCCCTTTGATCAATTGCACAGCCACAGGAAGAGTATTAGTTAAGCATTTCCACAGAAAGAACTTAAGCATACCAGCAATTTTGAGCTTCCAGTATCTGAACTTAACTTCCTGCTTAAAAGAAGAGGTATTGCTGCTCTCTGGAATATCAGCTTGTAAGAGTTTGCGATTGGACAAAAATTTATAAGTACTTGACACTGAGAAATTCCCCTTTCTCTCCAACCCCCAGTACAATCTGTCATTTCTGTCCACATGAAGAGAAGATATAGCCAGAATGGCTTTGCTATCAGTTGCATCAAAAACCTGTTTAACCAGCCACTCATTCCACAGATTACTACCATCCACTAGCAGATCCTTCACCCAAATCAAATGATCTCTAGCTATGGGAATTAAAGTTGGAGCAGGTTTACTGAGCTTAGGTACCCAGTTATAATCTTCAATTTTTGTATGAAGCCCATTTCTCACCTCAATTCTCATACACTGAGAGAAAATAGGAAGAACATCAACCCAACTGTTCCACATCCAAGATCCCCCTTGAGTTTTTTTAGCATGAACAATAGAGGAGTTGGGGAAGTACCTATCCTTAAGAAGTCTGCTGACCAAAAGATCAGGATTAGAAGCCACCCTCCAAAGCTGCTTGCAAATTAAAGACTTGTTGAACAGCTGCAAGTCCAGAAAGCCAAGCCCCCCTTGCAGCTTTGGCAGAGATAGATTGCTCCATTTTTTCCAGTGAATACTCTGAGTTTGGTCAGTGCCTGTTTTCCACCAAAACTGAGCACAAAGCTTTGAGATTGCAGAGCACAGAGAAATTGGCAATTTAAAGCAGGACATTGTGAAAATTGGAAGAGCTTGAATAACTGACTTCAGCAACACTTCTTTCCCTGCATTGCTAAGAAATTTTGTTTTCCAACTGGTGAGCTTAGTTCTGACAGAATCTAGAAGATAATCAAATACTTCTCTTTTTGATCTACCAATTCCCAAAGGCAGCCCAAGGTACCTCGTGGATCTGTGTGAAGATATTCCATTCATCAGAGAGCAAATAGAAGTTTGAATATGCTGAGGAGTGTTCTTGCTGAAAAAGATGGCCGATTTCTGCAGGTTAACAGCTTGACCAGTAAACAATCTATATTGCTCAAGCAGGTTCATGAGAATGGAAGCCTGATCAGTCCCAGCCTTGCAAAAAAATAGAGAATCATCTGCAAACAAAAGGTGAGAAAGCAAAGGGCCATTTCTGGAAACTTTCAACCCTTTGAGTAGCCCATTATTGACAGAGTGCACAACCAGAGCAGACAAAAGCTCAGCCACTATGATGAAAAGGTAAGGGGATAGAGGGTCTCCTTGCCTAATGCCCCTCGAAGGAGTCACAAATCCACTGAGAGAACCCTTAAAAGAGAATGAGGCTGAAGAGACGCAGATCATAATTAACTTAACAAAGTCCATGTGAAATCCCATTTGCAGCATGATCTTTTTCAGACAGATCCATTCAACTCGATCAAAAGCTTTAACAAGATCCAATTTTAGTGGCATGAAGTAATTAGGACCAGATACATGTCTGTTTAAGAAGTGAAAAGCTTCTTGGGCTATGATCACATTATCCACCAGTTGCCTACCTTCCACAAGAGCTGCTTGAAAGTCACTTATACAATGTGTGAGACAAACTTTAAGTCTTTGAGCCAAAATCTTAGAAATTATTTTGTAAACAACACTGCACAAGCTAATGGGCCTGAAATGCCCCACAGTTTCTGGGTTTTGGATCTTAGGAATTAAAGAGATCACAGAATGGTTCCAGTACTTGAGCAGCATACCTGTCTGGAAGAAGCTTAGAACTGCAGCCATAAGATCTTCTTTGATTATGCCCCAGAAGTGCTGATAAAAGGCAGCTGTCATTCCATCCTCCCCAGGAGATTTATCTAAATGGAAACTGAACAAAGAGAGCTTAACCTCTTCTTCTTCCACTGGCTTTAGCAGAGCTTGATTCATTTTAGCATTAATTGTAGAAGGAAAAAGTGACAAAATAGTATCCCCACCCCAGCAACCTTCAGTGGAAAAAAGATTGTTATAGAAATCTGCAATGTGCTTTTCAATGTCCTTCTGGTGAGATAAGATAGTGCCCTGAGGAGTTATTAGTCTGGTAATGGCATTATTCCTCCTTCTTTGTAGAGTTAGAGCATGAAAAAATCGTGTATTAGCATCTCCATCCTTAAGCCACTTGGACTTTGCTTTCTGCTGCCAAAAAAGTTCCTCCTGTTTATGAGCTGCATTTAAGCTTCTTCTAGTAGTCTCCCATTCTTCCCAGTCTATGTCAGCTTTGTTCACATTCAGAGTTTCGAGTTTAAGATTGAGATCTGCTATGGATTTCTGCCTTTGAGATTGAAAGCTGGAACTCCACTTCAGAAGGGCAATCCTGGTGAGTTTAACTTTTTCTTTGAGCTTGAAGAAAGGAGTGCCATTAACTTCTGTCAACCATGCCTGTTTAACTACCTCCTCACAGCCCTCCATACTTAACCACCGCTTGTCAAAATGGAACATTGTTTTCCTCCTCTCCCTAGGCAGACCTTGGTCCAATAAGATAGCTGAGTGGTCAGAGGCACTTCTAATCTTATTTAGAACGAAAGCATTAGGATGGTTCTGATTCCACTCCAAGGAGCCAAAAGCTCTGTCTAATTTTTCTTCGACCAGAGCTGGGAAGGCCCTATTGTTACACCATGTAAAAAGAGGCCCTTCCATCCTTATTTCCTCCATTGCCATACTGTTAACAAAGTTAATGAATCCAGAGAGAGAGATCTGAGGCCTGTGATTGCCACCCTTCTTGTCTGCGGATGAGAGTATATCATTCCAATCCCCTACTGAGAACCAGTTGCTGCCCCAATATGATTTGTCCACCAACAATGTGTCCCATTGAAGTGTTCTAATTATTCTGACAGGACTGATATAAACAAAAATCCTCCATTGAGTCACTGCTTGAGGAAGATGAAATTGCACAACAATATAGAACTCTTTCACCACCACCTGCTGAATAACAACATTGTCTTTCCAGAATAAAGCCAATCCACCACTAAGACCAGAAGGATCCACTATAATACATCTGTCTTCAAAACCTAATTTCTTACTAACTGTACAAACAAAAGCTTTAGTTTTTTTGGTTTCTGAGAGGAAGAGAAAATTGGGGTGATGAGTCTTCAATAACTCTCTGATTTGGGAAATTGTAGAGGGCCCACCCAGCCCTCTACAATTCCACACCATGGCTAACATTGATCACTTGGGTGCCACTCTAGGCTGGCAGCCCCCACCTTGTCAGAAATATTTGTTTGGCTATGGATGTCACCTTGTTTCAGAAGCTTAGGTTCTTTGGATGATTCTGGAAGATCACTCACTGAAGAAGTCCTCTTTAAACCAGAGATGTTATCTATAACTATAGGAATAACTGGTTCCCTTTGGAGCCTGCCAGTCTTGTTCCCAATTCTTTTCCAAGTTTTTGAAGGTCCTTGTGCCGAACTTATCTTCTTATCTTGCTGCACTATAACTAAAGCGGTTTCATTTTGTGTAAACAGTTCAACCTCCATCCCAGTAGCAGACTTAGAAGCATTTGACTGAGGAAGAAATACGGGAGCTTCAGGACTTAGTGCATTTGAGGAGGATGAAATGGAGGCAGCTGAGTGCAGCAAATTTGGTGAAATGCAGGTACCTGAGTTCTCTAAAGGCTGCTCCAATGGCACTTGAGAAGTATTCTGGATGGGAATTATTTGATTGCTATTCTCTGCCTGACTGGTTGAAGCTTTATATGAACTCCTTGGTTCTGAACTCGATGGTGAATTTGGGGGAGAGTTTCTGGTCCCTGTATGAGCTCCCAACCATCGAGGACCATCTGCGGCTTTTAACCAGTCGCCGTATTGACCATCCTT